TTTAAATTTTGATGAAGTCTAATTTATCTATTTTTTCTTTGATATCCATCCCTCTTTTAATTGCCAGTGTTGGAAGTTGCAGGTTACAAGTGAATTTGGCAGTGACCTACTATGGGTGCTCTAGGTGATACAATGTAACTAAGTGGAAAAGCACTATTTTTTTTTAAGATCTTATTTATTTATTTGACAGAGAGAGAGAGAGCACAAGTGCGCAGAGCAGCAGAGAGAGGGAGAGGGAGAAGCAGGCTCTCCGCTGAGCAGGGAGTCCAGTGCAGAGCTGGATCCCAGGACCCTGAGATCATGACTGAAGTAGAAATCAAGAGTCAAATACCCAAATGACTGAACCACCCAGGCTCCCCAATAAACAAATCTTTAAAAAAAAACACACACACAGGGGCACCTGGGTGGCTCAGTGGGTTAAAACCTCTGCCTTCAGCTCAGGTCATGATCCCAGGGTCCTGGGATCGAGCCCCGCATCAGGCTTTCTGCTCAGCAGAGATCCTGCTTCCTTCTCTCTCTGCCTGCCTCTCTGCCTACATGTGATCTCTGTCTGTCAAATAAATAAAATCTTTAAAAAAAAAAAAAAAAACACACACACAATATACAGAAGTGGGATTTGTCCTATCAGACCTTAAAACGTAAAAGCCTTTATAATTAAGACAATACAGAGGTACCTGGGTGGCACAGTTTGTTAAGTGTCCAACTTGATTTAGGCTCAGGTGGTGATCTCAAAGTCACCACTTGAGATCACTGGAGCCTGGAGCTCCTCACCCAGATTCTCTCTCTCCCTCTCCTTCTGCCCCTCCCATTCGTGCTCTCTTTCCCTCTCTCTATCTCTGTCTCTCTCTCTCTAAAGTAAGTAAATAAACCTTAAAACAAAACAAAACAAAAACAGTACAGTACTGGCACATGAACAAACAGACCAGGGGAATACAATTAAAAAAAAAACAAAAACCAGAAACAGATTCAAGTGGATTAGGAAATTTGGTATATGATAAAGGTGGCATCTTGCCTTACTGGGGCAAAGATGGGTTTTTAAATAAATGGTACTGTGACAAATGGGTAGCCATTTAGTAAAAGATAAAATTAGGTCCATAGTCCACAACATGCATAAAAATAAACTCCAAATGGATTAAGAATCTAAATGGAAAATATAAAACTTTACAATGACTGGAAGAAAACATGAGTGAACTCCTTGTAACTGCACTACAGAGAAAGGTTTTCTATGACTCAAAATCCAAAGGCAATAAAATAATAAATTTGACTACATTTTTATAAATATGCAAAAATAACAGAAACAAAATAAAAAAGACAACTGACAGATCAGGAGAAAATATTTGCAACATACAGCAGAAATAAAATTCTAATATTCTGGGATGCCTGGGTGGCTCAGTCAGTAGATCATGTGACTCTTGATCTCAGGGTTGTAAGTTCAAGCCTCACATTGGGTGCAGAGATTACTTAAAAATACAATATTAAAAAAAAAAACAGATTCAAATTGACTCATGGAGAGATCACTTAGAGGCTCTTTATAGCCAAATCTTAGACAATCTGAGCAACAAAATAATAATAGCAATAGATTCTAACCAATAAAATAAAACAAATATCCATGAGCCCATACTGATAGAAATAAATAACTGAATAAATAAATGTAATGAATGAAAGAATGGGAGAAAAGAGAGCTTTTCCTTAGAGTAGAATACCAATTAATAAATGCCAAAGGAATGATGGAAATAGAAAACCACTACTTGACAAATACTGTGGTAATAATTGTTGCAAGCAAGAAAGTATTATGAGAAGCAGGATTTTTACATAGTCTCAAAGAATCACCCCACAAAATACTCTTTCATTACAAAGGCAAAGAAAGTAATTTTACACTGGAGAAATACCACTTGATAAATAACGATTGAGGTTAATTAATATCACCCATAATAAAACATGGAGATCATGCACTTGCAGATATCATGCTTCGAGAAGACTACAACATCACTTCTGTGATACTCTTGCCAAAACACACAATCTGAATTTAATCAGGAGAAACATCAGACAAACCCAAATTGAAGTAGGTCTACAAAAAGCTGGCCAGCACTCTTCAAAAGTTTCAAGGTCATAAAAGACAAAGACTGAAGATGAAAGACAAAGACTAAGCAACTCTTCAGATGAGAGGGAGAGGACAATTAAATGCAGTGTCTAATCCTGGATTATATCCTAGCCCAGAAAGGGGATATTAGTGGAACAATTAATGAAACTGAATAAAGTCCACAGATTAGTCAATACTATGTCAATTTCCTGGTTTTGACAATTGTACTGAGGTTTTGTAAGACATTAACACTTGAGGAAGCTGAATGAAGAGAATTCTTTGAACTACTTTTATAATTTTTTTAAATGAGCTCAAAATTATTTCAAAATGAGGAAAAAAATAGAACCTGTACATTCAAATAATTATTGTCCTTCAAAATACTGTCTCTGAGATGTTATTTATTGAAAGTTGTGATAAAGTTTTTGACCTTTTAAAAGTGTTCTCATTAGCCATTTAATATGACACAAGAAAAGTAGTTTCTTGCAATATATTTAAAAAAAAAAAATTTCTGGGAGATGCTGGGTGGCTCAGTTGCTTAAGTGTCTGCCTTCCGCACAGGTCATGATCCCAGGGTCCTGCCAGGCATGCCCCCCCCATTACCTAATTTTAACAAATAATTTCTTCCCCATATGTACAGTATTTATTAATTTGGAGTTTTTTTCTGGCATAATCTAAAGCAAATCCCAGGGGCACCTGGGTGCCTCAGCTGGTTAAGTATCTGACTCTTGATTTCAGTTTGGATCATAATCTCAGGGTCCTGAGATAAGCTCTGAGTCAGGTTCTGCATTGTGTATGGAGCCTGCTTAGGTTCTCTCTCTCTTCCTCTCCCTCTGCCCTTTCCTACCTCCCTTTCTAAAACCACCAACAACAAAACAGCAAATCCCCAGATGGAGGTGCTTGGCTGTTTCAGTCAGTAGAGTATGTGACTCTTGATCACAGAGTTGTAAATTTGAGCCCCACATTGGGTGTAGAGATTACTAAAAATAAAGTCTTTTAAACCTAAAAAGAGGGGCACCTGGGTGGCTAAGTCTGTTGGGCGACCGACTGGGTTTTGGCTCAGGTGTTGATCTTGGGGTCATGGGCTCGAGGCACAGCATGGAGTCTGCTTGGGTTTCTCTTTCTCCCTCTTCCTCTGCCCACCCCCACTCCCTCTTCAAGGGCACATGCACAGGTGCACACAGGCACTTTCTCTCTCTCAAATAAATCTCAAAAAAATAAAAATAATAAAAAATAAAGCAAATCCCAGATATGTCATTTCATGGTAAAAACTTTTTCTTTAAATATATCCACCATACCCAGGCACCTGGGTGGCTCAGTGGGTTAAAGCCTCTGCCTTCAGCTCAGGTCATGATCCCAGGGTGCTGGGATGGAGCCCAACATCAGGCTCTTTGCTCAGCAGGGAACCTGTTTCCTCCTCTCTCTCTGCCTGCCTCTCTGCCTACTTGTGATCTCTGTCAAATAAATAAATAAAATCTTTAAAAAATATATATCCACCATACCATTATCACACCTGATAAAATTAATTCCTCAATATCATCAAATTTCTAGTCCTTATTCAAATCTTGCTGTCTCAAAAGTTGTGTTTTTTTTAACCAAAAGCATGAGGTACTTATTTATGTCTCTTAAAACTCTTTTAGTCTTTAACAGTCCACCTCTCCTCATACCCATGTTTTTCAATTTATTTACTCTGCTGGGGAAATTAGGTTATTTGCTCTGTGGAATCAGACTACTTCTTTCCTACTGATTTTTTAAACTTATTTTTCTATTCCTTGTATTTCCTGTAAATTATTGGTCAGAACTAAGGCTTAATTAGATTTGAGTTCAATTTGAAGGAATCATAGATACTTTATGGAAGGCTCTGTGTACTCACTATTGCATCACATCAAGAGGTACATGAAAGTCTGGTTCTTTCTTTTAATGATGCTAAGATGGATTGGGAAATTCAATTTGTTATCAGTCTGATTCCCTCATTACAAAGTTCAACACCTTTTAAAAAAAAATTTTTTAAGATTTTTATTTGTCTGTCAGAGAGAGTGCATAAGCAGGGGGAGCAGCAGAGGGAAAGGGAGAAGCAGGCTTCCCACTGAGCAGGGAGCCAGATGTGGGGCTCCATCCTAGGATCCCCAGACCATGACCCGAGCCAAAGGCAGCCACTTAACGGGCTGAGCCACCCCGGCATCCCATCAACACCTCTTTTAAAGGCAGGTTTTATATATGTTTAGTTTTATCAATAATAGAATTATCCTGAAACCTTGCTCAGGAATAGCAATCTCCATACGTTTAGTTAACTTTCCTAACAGAACTGTGGTTGAAGGTCCATGTCAACTCTTTTATCACAAAGTATTATGAGGGAAAATTTTTTATGAGGAAACTAATTTTTAAAATCGTGAAATTTTAAAAGTTCAAAATCACCTCACACATTATTACTACGACTGAGAACCAAATGGGTAGATTTGAGAAGTCTTGGCTACAACGCTGTAAGGAAATGTCTCAAAGAGTACTAGGGAGCTAAGTGAACTGTGACTTATTACAAGCCAAACTGTGCATGTATTATGTTGATAGCATTACAAAGGGCAAAGGTTGAAGAAAAGTAATACAGTGCTGAAAATATCCCAAAATAGGAACATTTTATACTGTATATGCCTCCAGTTCTGTTCCATCAGAATCCATTCGGAAAATATTTAAAGGGGCCAACATCAATAAAAGCTCATCTGGCTACTGAAGATCTTCAAAAGAACTGACGTGTTAGAAAGGGGTCCTAAGTTTGGAGGTCACTCTGCTGGGAAGTCTGTTCCAACCCAACGAGACTCCCAACACAGATTATCCTCCCCTTACTAGGCCGGGACCGCCACAAAGCCTCGCGCGAGGCGGGGCTAGAGACGCCACAGAGACGTCCCGCCCCCTTACGTCGCGCACTGGGAGGCCAGAAGGTTTCTGGCGGGGCCAGCGCCATTTTGCCGGAGCCTGCGACCGAGTGGGAGTGGAGTGGAGCGGCCGTTGTTGCCGACTCTTTCCTCCTCCCCACGGTCCAGTCAGCGGTTGATTAGGCCATCGGCCCTCAAGCCGAGACTTGTCTCTTATTTAGTTCTGGGGAGCACCTGGCCGACATGAGTGATGTAGAGGAGAACAACTTCGAGGGCAGAGTGAGTACAAAGCCGCGGGAGCCGTCTTCGGCGGCGGCCCGATGCTCGGGGTTTCACGGGGACGAGCGCGGTCGGGCGGGGTTGCGGGGAGTCCTGCGGGGGCCCGCGGGGAGCAGCCTCTGGAGCCATCGCGGTTGTTTCCTTACATACCAAGATGGCTTCTGGGTTCCACTCTTTCCCCAAACACCGCGGATAACCCCTCTCCCCCTTTTTTGGAGACTGACTGACACCTGGACTCCTGGGTCCGATTTCCCCCCCGCAGTGCGCCCTCCCTTCTCCCCACCCCTGAGGCTTCCTTATCTCTGTTCCGAGGAGTGGGTCCCTGTCGCGGTGGGGCGGGAGGAGACGGCAGGGAGTTCCCCTCCGGCCGGATAGTGGTAGGTGCTTCCTGCGGTGTTCTGGCGACCCCGAGCATCGTAGAGGGTCTCGGGGTCGAAACTGCGCGGGGCTGTTGTCCGGGCGGGGAGAAGCTGGCGTGGGACTAGCTGGGGCCTGTGTCTCCTTGGCTCTCTATTGCAGTGAGCGGCCGCGTCTCTGTTGGAACCGGCGGCGTTGCGTCTATAAAGGCGAAAGCCTTGAGGTTGAAGGTGGGACGAGCCTAATGAAGTGGTTAGTCAACGACCGCACCGACCCTTAAGCGTTCTTAAGACGAGAGCTGTGAGGGGAAAACTACGCAAGGAGCCCTTTTCCCTTAATGTCCCTTCTGCTTTCTTTTCACTTCAAAATGAATGTGGAAATGCTATAACGCCTGATTTTTTCTAATTCCATGATGTTGGGTTTTTTTCTCTCTCCTTTATATCTCAACTTCTAATGCTTTTCTTCCTATGATCTTTTATCTAAAAACCACTTCTTTACAGGTTTTTACGGTAAACAAATCTTAATCTTACATAACTGAACAAATTTTGTGGCCCAGTATTTTAAAAATAGCTAGTCAGTTTTACACTGTTCTGTAATTGAAAATTACAGACCCCCTCCCATTTTTCTTCTCACCCCATCCACCTACAAAGGGAGCTCGAGGATTTCCATTATTCGGGGTCAGTAAATATAAGGATCACAAAGATACGTTATCCTCAACCTAGATGTAGTAGAACATTGATAGTTGGAGTTCTACTTCTGAAGTTACCCTCCTGTAGTGGTAATTGGTGGAAGTGGGTTAGCATGAAATCCTGGAAAGAAAATCCCCAGGCAGCATGTTCTTGCTGTTGTGTTGGTATTCTAGTCAATAGGGGAAACGCATAAAAACACTTAAGGTGTGTGCTAGGATGGGATGAATTTTGTCTTTTTTAGAAGCTCATAATATAAATACTTGGAACCAGACAGTTAAATCAGAAGGTGGATTTAGGCTTTTGTTCTTTTTGAAGAAAAAGGTTTAAATGGGTTAGAAACGAAACTACTTTTTGATGCCTTTAAGATTGGATTTTTAAAATAAAATCTAAATCACAGATACAAGTGAGTAGTTGAACCTGCTTTTTTCTTAGAATGAGGTGTTGATGGAGCAAAACTTTTTAAAAATCTTGTAATAAAAATACTTGGTAATTGCACGCTGCTTGTTTTTGATCATGTGAGGAAGTTACGGAAAGAAATTTTCTATCCATTAATATTTCCTTCCATTGACTTTAATACAGAAATTTATTTTTTTGGTAATGTTTGTTTTTATTTGGTTTGTGGAAAAGTGAAGAGTACTGCTATTTGGGATGTTGTTTTCCTTTTAAGTTTTTACGTCTTAATTAGTCATCAAGTCGAGGAATGGAACGAACAAGTTCTAGGTAACTGTCACGTTAACCACTTGAGAAAGCAATATATGTAAGATTCCTACCCAGTTTTATGCTAAAATGCATGTATGCATTAATATTCTGTGTTAGTAAAAAAAAGGGTTCTCAGTCCCCCCTCTTACAGTGTTTATGGTCATGACAATATTTTTTGACAGGAGATACCTAAGTGTATTTTAATGTAAAAGAACTCAGCAGATTGAATACGCCTGTCCTTACCTGTCACATCTTTTTTTTTCTTTTGTAGGTTGGGGTAATTGTCTTTGTTTGTAATTGGTTAAAGAATTAGAAGAATACCAGAAGCTTTTCTGAGGGTGTACTTTTTCTTTTTTTTTTTTTTTTAATTGTTTCTTAATTTAATATTCACTAGTGCTTTTGGTTTTTAAACTACTGTGATTTCTTATCTGCTAACCACAAACCAGTTTTTTAAAAAAATTTTTTATAGAATACGTTGTGTTATCTTCATATCTAAGTGTAATACCCATTTAGAGAGGCTCAAAACAGGATTTTTCAAGTGATGTTTTGGAAGTTTTGTTGTTTTAAGTAGTTACACTTCAAATTTTATAAATAAAGTAGAGGACACATTGACAGGTCAGATTTCATTTGCTTTATTTATGGAATAAATAGTACATATTAACCCCATCTTACTGAAGAGATACCTAGAATTAGAGGGTAATTTTCTAGAGACTGCAGAACACATTGAAGAAACAGGACTAATACTAATAATAGTTCTTATTTTTATAGCAATTTTTAATCTTACTACCCCACCATCAGATCATTGACATATTTTCACATGTTCTACTTAGAATCATTTTACAAGGGTTGGAGTACTCATACCTTTTTAGAAATTAAAAACTGAGGCCTAGAAGAACACGTAGCCAGGAGTCGGGTTTACAGGTCCGAGTCCATTGCTCACTGCATATATACACTTTGCTGTATATGTTTTGATTTCCTTTTTTAAAAAGGAGCACACCGCACTTCAGCGTCTCAGACACATTAATAGTGTTTGCTAAAAACTATAGATTGTCTCTTCCATTGTAGAGGACTGGAGTAAAAGAACTTTAGGGTAGAAAATTATAATTGGTTGAATTTTGTTATTAGTAATCCCAATAGTTAACCAATCAAAATTCCTTTCTGCCTGAGGTAAAACTGTTTGAGCATCTGCCTTTTTAGTAAAAGTCAGGTGTTCTTGAGGGAAAAAACTTAAAGTCTAATTTGAGATGACTGACAGCTCATATCTGGGTAAAAGTAAGTATATAATCAAGTGTCCTGTGATAGAATTAATAGGGAATTTAGAAAATGGAGCTGAGCTAGGGAAAGGGAATGCTTTACCTAATATGTAAAACTCACGTTGGATTTTATGGTTAGGGAATAGATTGATTGTATGGATATGACAATGAAGAGTTTGTGGGGGTAGTGAGAGGATAGATTTGCTAGATAGGCAGTCAGATAATGGGGGGTTTTTAATTCTAGATACAGGGATTTGGACTTAATCAGATATGCTGTAAGAAGGCATATATGGATTCTTAATTCTGGGAGTGGCATAATGAAAGGACTTTAGTAAAGAACAGAAGAACTGGTACTAGAGGAGCAGCAAAGCATACTTGAACTATTTAAGGAAAGAAATTATGAAAACTCTAAACAGGACAGCAGTAGGATATGAAGAATGAGTGAGACATTTTCAAGGGATCCAGAAGAAGAAGGGTGCCTTTAAAATAAATAGGTTCATTAAAGCAATTTGTTGGGGACATGTATATCAACTTAACAAAAATATTTTAAGTGGAAATGTCTTTTGGAGCTGAAAGTGTGGCTGGCACTTGAGCTATAAATTTGCTTGTTGTCATCATAAAAAGAGTTGTTTGCTTCACACAACTTCAACTAAAATAGGATTTAGGTCTCAAAAAAATTGTAGTCTCCTTCATAGAAATTAAGGGAAATGGAGTTTAAGCTTTCCTTGCCATTTTATTTGCCCTCTATCCCTAATTTGTTTTTCTGACCAATTTTAGAAAAATGTTAAGCCCAATTTTTTTCTCATACAGTGACCCATTGTTTTTAAAGATTTTATTTATTTATTTGACAGAGAGCGATAACCACAAGCAGGCAGAGACAGAGAGGGAAGCAGGCTCCCTGCTGAGCAGAGAGCCTCCCTGGACCATAAGCCCATGACCCAACCGGCGCCGAAGGCAGAGGCCCAACCCACTGAACCACCCAGGCGCTTTTAATAGAGGTTTATGATTCTCATGTAGGGATCCATCTTATAATTCCATATTTGTTATTGAAGAGGAAAAATAATACTTGTCTCCTATTCAGAGTTCTGGCATCCTGTAGCTAGAATATTTTTAAGCAACCCCTAGTGTTCCCCCTTCGTAATACATTAGATGGTTTGACTGGATGACAGAAGTGTAAAGCAAAATACAGATTCCTCTGTACCCATTTGGAATTAAAATGTGTGTAAAGATTTTGTTAAAGAATAGCAGAAATACGGGAAGCCTTTTTTTCTTCCCTGAAATCTGATTTGTAATAATTGGTGTGATGACTGTGCCATTCAAAACCCACCTTGGTTACTGACTTTAAAAAAATGAAACAAAAAACCTTAAACTAGGCTTTTAATTTTTCTGTTGATGAAATGTTAATAAATGTGAGGATACAAATGAGGTTTACCCTCTCCCTTCCTTTAAAAAAAAATACAAATAAAATGGAATCTCTGTTTTACAGATAAGAATGTCAGGTCAGCAGTTTAGCTTTTAAAAATTCTTAGTTTCTTCAGTTTAATTTCATCTATCTCATCAACCTATTACAAAAGGGTAAGACTTCCTTTCTCATGAGACTGACAGTATTAAACCCAAGACAACGCTGTCTTGGGTTTAATTTATTAAAGTTAAGTCCTATCATTTATGCAATTTTAATGCTTTTTTATTCCTTCTGTCATTTCTTAAAGCAAAGAATTTGTAAACTTAAACATTGTAATGCTCAGACTTTAATATTTAAGACTCTTTCACTGAAGGGTGCTAATTTGCTTAATTTAAGTAGAAGGGGGGATTTTTAAAAGAAGCAGTGTTAACTAAATGTGCCCGCAGTGCACAGATTTGTCATGGATGCTTAATGGTTTGTGCCATTCCTAAAATGAAAATAAAAAGTCCTGATAGCTGAAGGAATTTGAAGGGATTTAAATACTTAGGAATGAGAGTTGTAAAAAAATACAGATGAGCTTTGTTTATGGATTTATTTTTGTAAGTGAACTGAAATTATTAACCTATGGCATATGTGGTGTAACAAGTGTGAAATGGCCATCAATAATCAACATAATAACTTCCTAGAATCTTCCTGACAGTGAAAACCTTTTCTTTGATACTATCAGTGGGTGCTCAGGCATCAAATTACTAACCCTGGGACCTTTGTAAAAGGTATACATTTGCATGCTAAATGAGTTAATACTGATTGTTATTTGTTTACCTTTGTAATAAATATAGCAGGACAGAAGTGCTGGTGAGAAAATGGCAATGATCAGATGGGGAAACGAATCAGTTAAACATTGTTTAAAAAAAAAATTGAGAGGGAAATAATGAAAGGAAATGTGGTTTCTTTCCCCTCTCTCCTTTAGGTTAATGTCATTCATTATGTAGTTGTGTATAATCCTTGTTGTCTCATCATTTTCACCAAGAGTATAAGTGACGGCTGCCTGACCAATCTGAGGTAGAAGAAGTTATTTTCTTTAAATTAAGGCCCTGTAGTCTTTCTTACTGAAGATTCATAAATAGTCCCATGATATTAGAAGATGAGAACCCAAGTAGAAAGTTCTGTAATTGGTTCTTAGTAAACAGTTTGCTTTTAGTTGTTACTCTTTGGCTTTTAATATAGCTAAACTTTTTGGACATTACAGTTGATCATGATGTACAAGCTGGCTGGTTTATAAATCATTTAAAATTTGTATGAAAGATTATATAAATTTTACAGGTAATTTCACAGTTGAGAATAATTTGAATTTGGTAATGTATGCATAAGTGCCGATTCCTACGTAATTTCTTTAAGCATTTCCAAAATTATTCCAAACTTTAGAGAATGTAAAGACTGTTAGAATATCTGTGAGTCTTTGCAAAAGAAAAGACTGCTTTAACCTCACTTAGAATGCAGCATATAGGTATTTTCTTTTTAAGGAATTGCTTTAATAGCAGTTATGGGTTAAGAAGAGAGTGGAAGTATTTCTTTTATAAGCTTAAGAGTCCATCATACTCAAGAACTGCTATTTATGTAGACTGAAATTAAAGAATTGGATAAACAGAAGTTTCCCCTAAGCCCCCGAAAATGAAGTTCTTAGTACAGTAAATATTATAAGCTATTGGAGTAATTTAAGTACCTCTCCCCCATTGGGACATAAAATTTACCTAAATGCACTAATGTATTTCTATGGAAATAGATCTCCAATTTCATAAAATAGTGGGAAAAATACATTTTGAGAAAGTTTGTTTTAAAACTTTATGCTATTACAGACTTGAATTTGTATAAACATGGCCCTGTGACTTGGCATAGAATTTGCATTGCCACAATAATAGAGTGGGTTACAATTTAACATTTATGTGTTATGTGTTTATTTTAATGGGGTTTAAGTACTAAGCATATATATTGTTGGAATTTTTTTCTTCCACCTATTATATGATATTAGCTGTTTTAAAAGATAAGGCTTCAGTTATTGTTTACTGTAGGAATTGTTCATGTTCTGCAACAATGTGTGCATATATCTAATAACCTTTGCCTTGATTGAAGGAATAGTACACAGTTGTGGTTATTTACAGTGTGTAAAATGCAGCTGTATTTTAACACAGATTGCTTGAATTGGATATGCTGTGGTACTTTCTTAGTATTCATGGTTAGCGCCTTTTTTTTTTTTTTTTTTTTTTGCTGTGTCCTTCAGCTATCATATGAAGTACCTTGATAATAAAGAATAGTTAAAAGAACAAACATACACCATTTAAGCAGGTTATACTGTGAGAACTTTTTGCCTGGCTTCTGGTTTATAATAGGTAAGGTAGACTGGAAGCCTGTTTGATTGTTGTTAAAAATGTGGATATCATTTGATTGAGTCATTCTGCCCATTTCAACTAGACAGCATATTTTTAAATGGTTGCTGGATCCACATGCAGGTTACTGAGGAATTTGCAGAATTTCTTGACAGGACAGCTTTAAGAGTAGGTTAAGTAGAGGGTAGTGAAACAGGTAACACCCCTTATCAGTATTTTATTTTTCTGTTTGGAATTTCAATTCAGTTTCCAAATTCCGAATAGGTTAATGCATTTCTTTGGAAAAAGTTGAAATTATCATTTCGTAATGAAGACGAGGCAAAGGTAGAAAAGAATAATCTAGCATTTGTCCATAAAGGACTTGTTGTACCTTGGTTTCTAATGCACAGCACAGTTTGGTGAAAATGGTACTCCCTTGGTACTAGGTTTTAAAAAACAAAGTTACTTAAAAATGGCAAATATTTGTGTGACCATTTTTGTGTGCATGAAGACTTAACTACCAGTTCTTAGAATGATGGGCTTTTTTTTTTTTATTGCAGTAAAAATAATTCTGAAGAATTAAAAGTTTATGTTATGCTTTGTAGTTTATTCTTTGGATTAAATTTACTGACAGGTACTGATTTATCTTTTTAGATAAGTTTCTAAATTGTTTTTGGAAGTTAGAATGGTAGCGACAATTTCGTAATTAGGTGTTACAAGGGAGTTAAGACTGTTTCTTAACCTTGAATGATTCCATGAAGAAATTTATGCAGATTCAGGTTTCCCTGGTATAAAAACTGAAGGATGACCACAAAGGAGGTATTAGGTATTTGTGACATCTTAATTAAAAAGCAAGACTTTTTTAAAAAATATCCTAATGTCTTTTGAAAAGATACTCTGTTGTATCTTAATGTTTTGTTAACCAAAAGGAAATTTTCATTTTTTCCAATGAGTTCCTATGCCAGAACTGAAAATTAAACTTTATAATTTAAGATGTTATTAAGTTGCCTTGTTTACATTAATTCCTAAGAAATGGCAATTTTCAATTAAATTTATGAGGGAAGACTGGGACATTGAATGTACACACATTTGGACCATAACATTTTTATCATGTACTAGAAAGCCTCATGAAAGCATTTAAGAATAAATCTTGAGTTTTAATATAAGACTTTGATTTATATATTTGTAAAATTCAAGGTTTTACAGTGTCATAGAATGCAAAGCATTCTGAAATATATGTATAACATGAGCCGTGGTGATGTTTATAGATACTATTCTATCAACTGCTGTTCAACAATAGCATAAATGTTATACCACAGGATCAGCTTTATAGAAGGGAAAGCTGAGAGAGGGGAAGATACTCTTCTCAGCTTAATGAACTAGCCTGTGTGATTCTTCAGTTACAAGCAAATTAGCCATTATTTTTTTTTAAGTACTGAATATGCTTTTACAGTTTTCAGTTTTACAGTTTCAGTGAATGAAGAAGCCTGAATTGCTGTGCCTGCTCCAGGCATTTGTCGAGAAATTTAGGAGGGTATCAGAGATGTGGTGAAAGACTTATTGTAGGTAGCTAAATGAGAAAGGTTGATAGTAAACAGAAAGGTAGCTATATATTTCAGTTTTGTCTGCATCTGAAAGATAAATAGGCCTAGCAGCATTAGTACAGTTCTTGGTAAATAAGTCTTTTGACATTAAACTCAAAGTAGCAGGAAAGTCTTAAGAAAGCTGTGTGATAGGTAGTCTTGTGGCATAAATGAAAAATGGTGTGAAGTTGGGGTGATTGTTTACACTAATAATCAAGGCTCAAATGGACTGTCCTACTTTGGTCATAAATGCCTCATATACCTATCAAATTTAAAAAGTCTCTTAATCAGTTTTAAGTCATTTGATTTGGAGAGTTTTCATTTATATCCAACTTTTTCAGAAGCCAGTCAATCTTCTGATATAGGATATAGTCATTGAAGGGAGTATGTATGTATGCATAACTGCATAAAATACACAAAACTATGAATGGAATTGGTGGGATCAAGAAGTAAAGACCATGATACTAATTTTGTATTTTTGTATGTTATGATACTTCATGAATAATACAGAATATTAAAATGGCACAGTTACAAAATTACATGTATTAGTAATTTATAAACCAAAGGGGAAATTTTAAGAATTTCATGCCCTCTTTTCCCCTTAGTTTTTTCTTTATGCTTCTTTTACATCAGAACATATGTTTCTGATTAGGGTGGAGTATGCAAAGATAGTGGTCAGACATACTTGGAAAAAGATGTTAGTAATTTCACTAATTTTTTTACTTCTTTGAACCTCAGCATGTGTCCTATAATATATGAGTTTAGGTAGGTGTGTTCAAATTTCAGCCTAGAATGCTTTGCTTTAACTGTACTTTGGTATCTTAGCATGGCTTAGTGAAAGCTTATTTTAAGATGACTAAGAATCTTCAAGTTATAAGCTAAAAACTTAAGACATAGGTGGGGGGTGATTAAAGTTAATGTTAGATTTATGCTTGGGTTAAGTATTTATATTAAAAATGTTCACGTTTTAGGAACTAGGATGAAACATGAAAGGGGAGGAGGAGGGTGAAGAATATGGTAAAAACATTTTAGAGAAATTCAGTAAATTCTCTTTAATTGTTAGAAACTAGACTTTGGACAATTTTAAAGATTATAAAATTGTTTTTTAATAAACTAGTTATTTGCACTTTACCTGCTGGCTTTTCCATTTGATAGATAACATTCTGAACTCCAGCAGAGTTTTATAATCCCCACGTGCTTAAATATACTAAATGTTCTTTTTCCATTAAGGTTAATGTTCGTGAAGAAATTGAAGAGTTTTTTCCAAGAATGTGGAAGATAAATCAAGATAAAAGAAGGCTAATGAAAAGTATTAAAGATCAGAAAATTAAAATTGAATGGGGGAAAAAATTGAACAGAAGATTGGTCAGATAGAAGCACTTGAATATTTTTTTAAGGCTATTTTGAATTGTTTGAATTGGGGAAGAATACACGAAGTATGAAAAATGAAAAACTCAATGAAGAATGAAGAGAAGTAGAAAGCAAGAGTGAAGTAGAATTAAAAGAATCTGGAAGAATGAATGGGTCCTAGGTTAAGTAAATGTATGGTTTATGTTCCAGTGTCTGTATGATCAAGTTGTAGATGAATTTGCATGATTTCTTAGTTAATAGAGAATTGGTGATCTGGTTCAAGTAGGGAATTATTGAGGACAGTTAGCAATATTAACAATGGGTTATTAATGAGCTGAAATTTTTTCTGGAGGGTGTTGCCTAACCATTTGTTTTTCAGGAGCAATCAATATAAATAATTACGGTACTTAAAATGTTAGGTGTTAGGCATCTACGTGACCAGTGCCATTTGTAATACTGTCTTCTTTGTTAGGAGTCTCGCTCTCAGTCAAAATCTCCAACGGGAACTCCTGCTCGTGTAAAATCGGAGAGCAGGTCAGGATCTCGTAGTCCATCAAGGGTTTCCAAACACTCAGAATCCCATTCTCGATCAAGATCAAAATCCAGGTAAGTGTCCTTAAAATAATGCTTAAGATGCTTTCCTTGGACTTTTCAGGGCCATGTAGTTTTTACCAGGTTCCTTATTTTTGCTGCATTTTATATAGATATTTCACAAAATCATGAAGTAATTTTTCTTAAACCCCAGAGTTTAGAAATGAATGTCCTGGGGGCACCTGGGTGACTCAGTCAGTTTAGCACCAACTCTTGGTTTCAGCATGGGATTATGATCTCAGAATCTTGAGATTGAGCCCTGGATCAGACTGCACCTCAGCGGGGAGTCTGCTGCTCTCTCCCTCTCCCAGTCATGCACTTTCTCTCTCCCACCCACCCCGAAATGAATAAATAAATTTTTTAAAAAGATGAACGTTCCTAATAGAGATTTTTTTTTTTTAATTTTTTAAAGATCTTATTTATTTATTTGACAGAGATCACAAGTAGGCAGAGAGGCAGGCAGAGAGAGAGGGGGAAGCAGGCTACCCGCTGAGCAAAAAGCCCAATGCGGGACTCGATCCCAGGACCCCAAGACCATGACCCGAGGTGAAGGCAGCGGCTTAACCCACTGAGCCACCCAGGCACCCCCAGATAAAGATTCAGATAAGGCAGAGTCCGATCGTCTTTTAGCCTGGTTAACCTATCAGTTACTACCTATTAATATAAATTAAATGTTTTGATTGATTTAAATGTATTGGCACTGAGGATTGGAGTTTGATTTTTTTTTTTTTTAAGATTTTATTTATTTATGTGACAGAGATTACAAGTAGGCAGAGAGGCAAGCAGAGAGAGAGGAGGAAGCAGGCTCCCCGAGATAGAGCCCGACGCGGGGCTCAATCCCAGGACCCTGAGATCGTGACCTGAGCCGAAGGCAGAGGCTTTAACCCACTGAGCCACCCAGGCGCCCCTGGAGTTTGATTTTATTTCAACAATATTTGTGCAACAAAAATGTAATTTTCTCCATTAGAGACTTAGTATGTAATTCAGTACAGAGAGCATTGATGTATCTATGTTGTATTAATTATTGAAATGATTTGAAAAGATTTCTCAAGATTCATATTCCAGCTATATCCTTTACCTGAAGATTGTGACTAAGTGTGTTCAGGGTGGAGCTGGCCAGATACAGCTAGGGAGTCTCTGGGTGATTCAGGAGCCCCTCCACTATCATTTCCACTGACCAAAAAACTCCAGTGAACCACTGCAGAGTTCACTGTATCAGATGTCCCAGATGTACAGGGGTGGGTGAAAGAAAGTTTTAAAAACGACCTGGACAGTTATTCAGTAAATCATAATTTCGTGATTAGGGACATAATTTGTCTTTGTATGGAGTTTGCTTGCCAATGGAGCAGGAGACCGAAGAATTGGTTGAAGGACTGTACTTGAGTCCACAGCTGTCTTTATCATATCCAGGATCCAACTTGATTTACTAACCACTCTAATTAAATCTACATGTGTAGAGTAACACTGTGTAGAATTTGGGTATGCAAACAGAAATGAGCATATTTTCATTTTAGTACCTTTGCATTTGCTGCTCTCAGCCTAGAATTCTCTTCCCTCATATATCCAGTCACTTGATTTATTCTCTACCCAAGCGTCAAACCTGAGAACATTAAAGAGCATGCATGCTCTTTTAAGTTTTTTTTCATAATGTTTACCACTATCTGATTTAGAGAAAAGTTAGCTACTCTTAAGGATTTTTAATGTCTCATTTTTCATTACTATATAAAAATAATAATTGATGGGGCACTTGGTGGCTCAGTTAAGCATCTACCTTTGGCTCAGGTTATAATCTCAGGGTCCTGGGATCAAGCCCTTTATCAGGGAAGCCTGCTTCTCCATCTGCCTCTGCCCCTCTCCTGGCTTATGTGCTCTCTCAAATAAATAAATCTTGTAAAAAAATAAAAATAACAATTGATATGTTAAATGAGAGGTTTTCTTATTAATGTTTATCTTTTACATTGAGGCTATAAATTAGTGCTGAGGAAAATGGAAAGTCTCTAAAAGTATACTAAATCTGCTAGGAACCATATCTCCATGTCTTGCCAAGGGACCTTTGCTCTTGCCATTCCTAAAACACTTTGCCCTTATCTATCTAGTAAAATTTATGTCTCCCAGCATTATTGTTAGCCTTCTTTGTTTTGAATAATCTTCCCTTACTAATTTTATTCCCTTCACCCATGTGCTGTCTTTTTTAACTTTCTGGCCCTTAGCATGTATAACATTTATTGAACATCTTAAACAAGTTATTTTGTAAGACTGTGATCACCAGTAGGGCACCTAGGTGGCTCAGTTTGGTTAAGCATTCAACTCTTGATCTCAGCTTAGGTCTTAATCTCAGTGTTGTGAATTCAAGCCCCACATTAAAAACAAAACAAAACAAAAAACTGATCACTTCTGGTCAAGATGTTTATTAAGGATGGCTTACATAAACAGTAAATAAATTGTTGCATTAAGGGGTGCCTAGGTGGCTCAGTTGGTTAGGCATCTGCCTTCAGCTCAGGTCATGATCTCAGACTACTGGGATTGAACTCAGCATTGGGTTCCTCAGAGAGCCCACTTCTCCCTCTACCTCTCCACTCTCCTTGTGCTCGCTGTCCCTCTCAAATCTTTAAAAACAAAAAAGGAAAGAAATTGTTGCATTAAGAGGCAAAGAAAATCAGTGACTGAAGTAGAGATAGGAGATGAACTAAGGAATCAGCAGTGGAGGATGGGTGAGGTGCTCTGGAAAGCTAGAAGAAATTAAGACTATTACATGGGCATTTAGGTTGTTGAATTAACTTAGCAGATGCTAGATTGCAGTGGGCTAAAGAAAGAAAGGAAATGGTATTTAACAGTGAAGGGAATATAGAACTATATTGAGAAGATAAGATGGTAAGAATCAAAGGATTTTACTGTGGTGGTGACAGTAGTTGGTGGTTTGTGTTGTCTTTGTTGTGGTAAGATAAACATAAAATTTACAGTCTCAGTCATTTTTAAGTGTAGAGTTCAGTGATAGTAAATACGTTCATATTGTGCAGGCATCACCACCATCTGTCCCCAGAGCTATTTGCAGCTTGTAAAACTGAAATTCTATACCCACTAAACAGTGGCTCCTTGTTTTCCCTTCCTCCCAGCCCCTGGCAACCACCATTTTACTCTGTCTGTATGATTTTGCCTACCCTAAGAACTTTATATATATATAGTGTAATCACAGTATTTGTCTTTTGGTGACTTACTTGTCTCACTTAACATAATGTCCTCAGGTTTCATCCATGTCACAGAATACTGCAGGATTTCCTTAGGGCTAATCTATATTTTACTTTTTAAAGAAGGTTGAGTTACAACATGCTTGTAATGTAAAGTGAAGAGGGTGTAGAAGGAGTAGACTAAGAACATGATGATTGTAGTGATTAAGAGAACAAGAGGAAGAATATTCTTTCCTCAGAAGGGAACTGGGATACATGTATAGATCTTTGTCATTAGCCATCTTGTTTCAGTATTTTTACCTAAATGTATTTCTCTCAAAGGTCGAGGTCAAGGAGGCATTCTCATAGACGTTACACTCGATCCAGATCCCATTCTCACTCTCATAGGAGACGATCTCGAAGTAGGTCATACACACCAGAATACCGGCGTCGAAGAAGTCGAAGTCATTCTCCAATGTCTAACCGGAGAAGACATACAGGCAGCAGGGTTTGTGGTTTTTGAAAATTACTGAAAACTTACTTTGTCTCTATGTGTTTAGTCATAGCATAATATCTTACTTTCATGAGATTAGACCATTATTTTAAAGTGCTACTCCAAGGGTACCTGGCTGGCTCAGTCAGTGGAGCGTGTGGCTCTTGATCTCAAGGTTATGTGTCTGAGACCCTCACTGGGTGTAGAGATTACTTAGGAAATAAAAAGTAAAGTGGTACTCCAGAAACATCGTTAATTATATGAATATTGTTTGTATACATTTAAATATATTTTCTTAACTTTTGAGTAGTTAAAAGAAATTTGTGGGGAATATATGTTTTAAGAATTAAAATCAAAAGTATAAACTGAGTTGAGAATATTGAGATGAAAAAGTTTTGGTGGGGATTAAGGGAAGCTGACAAGAAGTACATGTAGTAATAACAGCTAACACATATTGAGCACTATGCAGTTGTTCAATACATTTAATGGATAAGAGTCTGGGACATGTGACACTGAGGTTTGGTTTTTGGCTAACTGGCAGAGCCCAGGTTTCAGCCAGCCTGCTTGACTCTTAAAGTTCCTGTGCTTAACTGCTGTAGTGTGCTGTTCCACCATGTGATGCTGAATTACTTAACTCTGATGGAGTCTGCTATTTCATGATGTTTTGAAATATGTACATAGATTTTCAAATCTGTTTAGTGGGAAGTTTGAAGGAATATCCTTGGTAAGAATGAAAATGGAGGAAAGTCTTATCAGCCATTATAAAGTCCTATTAAGTACAAATCTGTAAGCTAGAAAACATTTGAATAAACCATAAATATGGCTTTAAACAATGGTGGATTCTTAGGATACATTCTGAAAATTGCTGGACCAAAAATGTGGGGATGTTTTTATTCAGGCTCCAATGGCAGTATACTCCAAAGAGGGCCTGAGTGTACTGTGAACTGTAAAAATATAGCTCGTCTGGTTTTTTTCCTCTTAAATTCTTCTTTCCCAAGGGACTTGAAATAGTATAGTCTTTGTGTATTAGAGGAGTGTTCTAAGCAAAGTATTTCTGTGTTTATTAATTTTTATTTCAATTTGGAGCTTGAAATTAAATCACATCTTTTTCACCAGGCAAATCCAGATCCCAACACTTGTCTTGGAGTGTTTGGCCTCAGTTTATACACAACAGAGAGAGATCTTCGTGAAGTATTTTCTCGATATGGACCATTGAGTGGTGTCAATGTGGTTTATGATCAGCGAACTGGTCGGTCACGAGGATTTGCTTTTGTTTATTTTGAAAGAATAGATGACTCAAAGGAGGTAATTTTGTTTTTATAGTTTTATAATTTTTCAATTTGAAATTTTTCTGATGTGCTTGATTATACTGTTAAAAGTTGACTAATAGTCTCCCAGTTTTATAACCTGTTCTTTTTCATTCCTTAACCTGAGTTTGGTTCAAACTCTTCCTTTTAGCACCAGCTGGGTGGCTTAGTAGGTTAAGCATCTGCCTTCGGTTCAGATCATCATCCCAGGGTGGGATCGAGCCCCTCGTCAGGCTCCTTGCTCAGTGGGGAGCCTGCTTCTCTCTCTCCCTCCCTCTCCCTCTGCTTGTGCACGTGGACACTCTCTCTGTGTCAATAAATAAAATATTTAATTTTTTTTTTAAGATTTTATTTATGTGAAAGAAATAGAGAAAGCAGAAGCAGGGAGGAGAGGGCTCAATCCCAAGACGCTGAGATCACGACCTGAGCTGAGCTGAAGGGAGACACTTAACCAACGGAGCCCCCAAGCGTCCCTAAATAAAATCTTTAAAAAAAAATGGGTGCCTGGGTGGCTTAGTGGGTTGAGCCTCTCCATTCGGCTCAGGTCCTGGTCTCAGGGTCTTGGGATTGAGCCCCGAGTCAGCGTCTCTGCTTAGCAGGGAGCCTGCTTCCACCTCTCTCTCTGCCTGCCTCAGGGCATACTTGTAATCTCACTGCCAAATCAGTCAATCTTAAAAAACAAAAACAAAAAAAAAATTTCCTTCCATTGTTAAATTGGAAATTGCCAGTTTCACTTTCCAACTAATATTTTGTGGTATAGGCATATCCTGATTGAAATCTGGCTTTGTAAACAGAGGTATATGTGTTTGAGTTAATGGAAAAAGTAAAGTATATAAATGTCCTCTTTTGGGGCGCCTGGGTGGCTCAGTGGGTTGGGCCTCTGCCTTCGGCTCCGGTCATGATCTCAGGATCCTGGGATCGAGCCCTGCATTGGGCTCTCTGCTCAGTGAGGAGCCTGCTTCCCCCTCTTTGCCTACTTGTGATCTCTCTCCCTCAAATAAGTAAAATCTTAAAAAAAAAAAAAAAAAAATCCTCTTTTGACTAAACCTTACTCCTATTCCAAGCAGATGATTAAGCTAACTTTTTAGAAATTATATGATATTTTGGAGTGCCTGACTTGCTCAGTTGGTGTGGAGTGTGTGACTTAATCCCAGGGTTGTGAGTTCAAGCCCTGTGCTGGGTGTAGAGATTACTAAAAATAAAATCTTTTTTAAATTAAAAAGAAATTATTTGTCTGATCTGTTTAATTTTGTATAGAATTAGCTCCCCATGTATAGACAAAGAGCTTTATTTTTCTATTTTCATATTCATCTGTCATTTTGTTCTTTAATTAAAATATACATAGAATTATTTTGGGTTTTGTTTTAAGATTTGATTTGAGAGAGAGCATAGTGGGTGATAAAGGGAGAAGGAGAGAATCTCGAGCAGACTCTGTGCTGAGCGCCAAGCGGTGTTCCTTATCACAACACCACAATCATGACCTGAGCCAAAATCAAGAGTCAAGACACTTAACCAGCCGAGCCACCCAATCGCCCCTGAAGCTGTGCTGCTTTAATGTATTAGATACTGGATTATAAAGAGAGCAGTAGGCTTGCTTTCGCTATACTAAAATTCATAGTGATTGGGTTAGAAAATTCCATTTTAAGGAATTTGAAGCTCATTGTTAAAGTTTTATCAAACCCTTTTGGGGGCACCTGGGTGGCTCAGTTGGTTAAATATCCCAGTCTTGATCTCCGCTCATGTGTTGACCTCAGGGTCGTGAATTCAGGCCCCATATTGGGCTCCATTACTTTAAAAAAGTAAGTGTTGTTGTTGTTTTAATCAAATTTTAATAAATGGCAGGGCACCTGGCTGGCCCAGTTGATAGACCATGCAACTTTTGATTTCAGGGTCATGAATTTGAGCCCCACATTGGGCATAGAGCTTTTAAAAAAACAAACAGACAAAAAACCTAATAAATGGCAAATGTACCATTTTACATGTGATAGTAGTTGGTAATTGCTCTATGCATCAAGAGCATGTGATTGCAACACAATCAGTCATTATAAAAGCATATCTGGGGTGCCTGGGTGGCTCAGTGTAAAGCTTCTGCTTTTGGCTCAGGTCATTACCCCAGGGTCCTGGGATTGAGCCCTTAAGTCAGGCTCCCTGCTCAGCAGGGAATCTACTTCTCCCTCTGCCCCTTCTCGTATGCTCTCTCTCTCTTGCTCACTTTCTCTCTCAAATAAAATCTTCTTTAAAAAATAATAAATAGTAAAAGTTATAATCTTTCAAAAATAGTAGATGCTAGTGGATGGAGGCCAGGAATGATGCCAAAACTCTTAAAATGTACAGGATAGCCACCCAGAATAAAGAATTGGCAGTCCAAAAACATCAATAATGTTGGAGGTTGAAAAACCTCAGATAATTGTGACAAAATAACACTCCAGGTTGTAAGTCATTTATGTAATAGACATTCTAATTAGCATTCTCTAATTTACTTATTTATTTGAGAGAGATCATGCATATGCACGAGCTGGGAGCTGGGAGAAAATCCTAAGCAGGCTCCTTGCCCAGTGCAGAGCCCAGTTTGGGGCTTGATCTCACAACCCTGGGATCATGACTTGAGCCAAAATCAAGAGCTGGGACACATCAGCCCACTGAGTTATCCAGTTCCCCCTATCAAATATTATGACTTTCTTTGGTTACATATTTGTGATTTCTCTTCTCAATTAAGAGATACAGGTTTCAATTTTAAAAACAGTATGGTATCTGATGTGAAGTATCAATTAGATTTTTTTTTTTTAAGATTTTATTTATTTATTTGAGAAAGAGAGAGACACCACAAGCAGGGGGGGAGAGGTTTGCAGGGAGGGGAAGCAGGCTCCCTGCTCTTGATCCCAGAGCCCTGGGATTGTGACCTGAACCGAAGGCAGATGCCTAAAGAATCATTAGGTGCCCCAGGATTTTTTTTTTTTTTTTTAAGATTTTATTTATTTATTTGACAGAGACACAGCGAGAGAGAGAACACAAACAGAGGCAGTGGGAGAGGGAGAAGCAGGCTTCCTGCCAAGCAGGGAGCCCAGTGCAGGGCTTGATCCTAGGACCCTGGGATCATGACCCAAGCCAAAGGTAGATGTCTAATGACTGAGCCACCCAGGCACCCCAAGATTTTTTTTAATACAAAATTTGTTAAGAAATTTGTCCTAGCTCTTGAGTCCTCCCATAACCACCCTGTCAGGTTTGTTTCTTTATAAAATAAATGATAATGGCATTTTACTTTAATTCCAAGGAACTTGCAAATGTGGTAGAGTAGTTGGAATTACTATCCCATTTATTGGTATTAGTGCTGAAGAACAGAGTGATAGGGAATGGGAGTGCAGATTTAAAGAGAGGAGCACTTACTGGCAGGTTTAGAAGTTCTTTTATATTTGGAGTTCACTAGATGGCAGTGTGTTACCTAAGGAATGGTTTTTGGCTAACCTAGACTTGGTCCCCTGAATTGCAGTTTCTGCGTGGAGTTGCCTAGACTTGAGTTGCCCAACTTGTATGTTTCTTTCTCAGTAGCTGCCCCCAGTGTTTCATCAGAGGCGTGTTTAAATAAGTGTGTGTGTGCACATAAGAAAACTCAATGCTGTTGACATGCGTATAGCAAGGATTTGCATGTAAAATCCAGGCCCTTGTTTGGGAACGAAGTTTAGAGAATTGTAATGTTTTTAAATTTCAAGTGGAAAATGTGTTAAGTTTGTTGCAGTTTTAGTAGTTTCTCATTAGTGAACTATGCATGACTTTCTGTGCCTATTCTCCTTTAAAGGCTATGGAAAGGGCAAATGGAATGGAGTTGGATGGTAGAAGAATTCGAGTGGATTATTCTATTACCAAGAGAGCGCACACACCTACACCTGGCATCTACATGGGCAGACCAACTCAGTAAGATTTCAAATTTTTTAAGCTAAACTAAAAGCCAGAAATTCACCAGAAATGTATGCAAACTTCTGATTAATCAAAAGATAAAATTATTTTTTTCCTATGATAAGAGTCGAAAGTTATTTAATTTGTGTATATTCTTACATCTGTTTGAGGAGAGGGACAAATTTAAACTGTCAAAGTCATTCCTGGCTCTTTCCTTGGTGCTATACAAATAGAAAAATTATTAAATACTAGAAAAATGGTGTATGCTTTTAAGTATTCTCTTTCTATTCTTACGTGACTTTGGAAGCCTTGTGGATAGGGAAGAGTTTTACTGATGGGGGGGTGTTTTGTTTTGTTTTGTTTTGTTTTGTTTTGTTTTTTTTTGACAGATCACAAGTAGGCAGAGAGGCGGGAGGGGGGTGGGGGTGTGGGGAAGCAGGCTCCCTGCTGAGCAGAGAGCCCAATGCGATGTGAGCCTCAATCCCAGGACCATGAGATCTTGACCTGAGCCGAAGTCAGAGGCTTAACCCACTGAGCCACCCAGGCGCCCTGTATCTTTTTTTTTTTTAAGCCAGTTTTCACATCATGCAGAAAATAGAGGCTTTTATAAATTTTTTTTTATATAAAACAACTGAAGGAAGTTGTTTTGTTTTTTAATTTATTTGACAGAGATCACAAGTAGGCAGAAAGGCAGAGAGAGGGGGACGCAGGCTCCCCAGTGAGCAGAGAGCCCGATGCGAGGCTCGATCCTGGGACCCTGAGATCGAGCCCCGCATCGGGCTCTCTGCTCAGCCGGAGCCTGTGTCCCCCTCTTTCTCTGCCTGCCTCTCTGCCTACTTGTGATCTCTCTCTGTCAAATAAAGAAATAAAATTTTTTTAAAAAGGGCGCCTGGGTGGCTTAGTCGTCTGCCTTCGGCTCGGGTCATGATCCCAGGGTCCTGGGATCGAGGCCCACATCGGGCTCTTTGCTCGGCAGGAAGCCTGCTTCTTTCTCTCCCACCCCCTGCTTGTGTTCCCTCTCTCTCTCTCTCTCTGTCAAATAAATAAAATCCTAAAAAAACAAAAATGAAAGAGGGAGTATAGGCTTTCAGTTACTTTGAAACCTTCCTGGGGAGAATGTAGAATTTGGTAAGAAGAGCCTGCAAAAACTAAAGTGAAAATACTGTCCCTGTGATTAGGAGTTGGGAAAAATTACAGGATAAAGTGCTTAAGGGTTTAAATTTGCTGCTGAAGATTTAAAAGCCAGAGCTTGAAATTGTTTTAGGGCTGGGCCTCAGTGTAAGGTAGTTAATTCTGCTGTTCAGGGTCGTTAACCTTTTTAAGTGCTTGATGTTTATTGTTTTTGACTAATGTCGTCACTCACATCTTATTAGCATTTTGGTACTATTTCCCAGCACCGTATTTCATTTCTGCTTCTTGAAAAGAAAAGGTCCTGCTGATTTGGGTAGTGCATTAATAAAAGAACAGTTTATAGTTTGAGAGTTTTCTGAAATCATTCCTGGTTTTTTATGTAATGAATAGGAAACCAAAGCAGAATAATACCCTGGGAGTCAGCAAAGCGAGACATGGGGGTCACTGACTTGAAAAGGGTGGTTCTTTCTCCCTTATCTTCCTGCCTCCCTCCATTTTGGTTAAGTACCAGTTGTTATTAAATGAAACTGGAAAATAATCACATTGATGTAAAATTTTTACATTTTTCTGTAGTAGTGGCGGTGGCGGTGGTGGAGGTGGTGGTGGAGGTGGAGGAGGTGGCAGGCGTCGAGATTCTTACTATGATAGAGGATATGATCGTGGATATGACAGATATGAAGACTATGATTACCGGTACAGGTAATGTTTTAATTTGTAATTTCTGTTCTAAATTAGATAGTAGTTGTATTATTTGGCACTTTTATGTTTCATACATATTAATAAAAATATTTAAAAATAGATTATGGTTTCTTGAGAAAGTAGAGGAAAATGATTTTCTCAAGATTGAGAAAGGTTAATTGTATTTGCCCAGTATTTTGCTGTACCATATGCTTGCTGTTCTGGTATTAACTGGCACACAGAGAATGAAATAGTATTTGAATGATGGGGAATCTTTATTTCCACCTGCCTCAGTGGAGTGATTTTGTGGTATTATAAATAATCTTTTATTTCCTACAGAAGAAGATCACCTTCTCCTTACTATAGTCGGTACAGATCACGATCAAGATCTCGTTCCTACAGCCCAAGTACGTATACTTTTATTTTGTAGCATTAAGAAGCATTTGTAATTAATGGTTTATTTTAGAAAATTAGGGTAAATGGAGATTGTTGATATTTGGACAAATAATAGACAAGTCAAACTGTAATTGTCATTTTGACTTTTGTTTTTTGCTCTCTTTCAGGACGCTATTGATACACAGAATGGTTGCAGATGAGGACATCTTTTTCTTTGTGTGTGTGTGTGTGTGTGTGTGTGTGTGTTGGTTTGGTTTGCTTTTGGGTTTTTGTTTGTTTTGGTTTGGTTTTGGGTCTTGGGTTTGTTTTTTGTTTAATTCTGGATTTCCCCAAGCTTCTAATCCTTCTTACTTCTTAAAAAGAACCCTTAAAAAAATCTTTGGTTTATTCACCATCTACACTTTGTCAGTTGTATTGCTGTTTCCACCCCTTTTAGTATACTCTTAAAGATGTAATTGTTGTCATTTTGAGTAAACATCTTAAGTTAAAAAAAAAAAGGAACCCCCAGTGTTACGCTTTGTAAACGATTTTTTTCCTTTTTTTCTTTTTCTTTTTTTCCTTTTCTTTTCTTTTTTTGCTTTCCTTTGCTTTTACAGAAAATTAACTCCTGGCTAATCAAATGAGGAAAGAAATGACCTTTTTAAAGCTTCTTTTGTGTTAGGTATTGTATTAGACATTATACTAGAGACCTCCATTTACAACGAACTCCTTTTTTAACTTTCTTTTGGGGAAGGTAGTAACACATAAAGTAGTTCAGTCATGTCAAGTTTGGGGTGGCATGGAGCAGTCAAATAGTTGAGTGTAGAAAGTATGAAGCTATAGAAGAAAACACTTGTTCATTTCTTTTGAAGAACGAAATTTTTGAACCCTAAAAATTACGTCAGTTTTTTAAGAGATGAAAGCTTGTGGACTCCTACAAAACATGTTGTATTTAAAATACATCTGTTAAGACTTAAAGTGTGATTTTTGTGTTGAATTTATTGAAATTTAAGTATTCCCTTAATCAGTGAAGGATTATTATTTATTACTTAGAGCAATTGTATACTTTGCTGTTAGAAATTTTTGTATGGGGACAATGGTTAAGCAGGCTATTATTGTATAGTATAGAGTCCTTTAGAAGATACGTGTGAGGAAAAGTAGTCTCCTTTCAAATAAAAGTTAATTTCTTTGAAAATGGGACTGTTTCTTTATTGTGGTAGAATGAGAAAAATATATATAACTTATATAACTGGATTGATTTGGGAACCAGTCCTTTTCCTAATATTTTTGCTTATACCGAATGTAATTCTTTCTCTTAGTCTTTAAAAATCCTTATTTTGGGGCACCCGGGTGGTTCATTTGGTTAAGCATCTGCATTTGGCTCAGGTCCTTATCCCAGGGTGCTGGGATTGAGCCCCGCCCGCATGGGGTTCCCTGCTCATCAGGGAGTCATCTTCTGCCTCTCCCTCTGCCCCTCTCCCTGCTCAGGTGTGCTTGCACACTCTCTCAACTAAAATCTTTGGGAAAATATTAAAAATCCTTGTTTTTCTTTCCTCTCCTTTTCTTTTTTCTTTTTTTTTAAGATTTTATTTATTAGAGAGAACACAAGCAGTGAGAGTGGCAGGGAGAGGGAGAAGCAGGCTCCCCATCAAGCAGAGAGCCTGAGGTAGGGCTTGAACCCAGGGTCCTGGAATCATGACCCGAGTTAAAGACAGACACTCAGCTGACCGAGCTACTGAGGCGCCCCTTCCCCTCCCTTCTTCTGTCAGCCTTGTTGTTGATACTGAGAATGTTCAGTACCAGGCACCATGGTGAACTAAAGATAAATAATACAGTTTATGTCTTTAAGAAGCCTCCACTCTGGGTGCCTGGGTGGCTCAGTCGGTTGGCGTCTGCTTTGGCTCTGGTCATGATCTCGGGGTCCTGGGATCGGGGACCATGTTGGGCTCCCTGCTTAGTGGGGAGCCTGCTTCTCCCTCCCTTACTCCCCCTGTGCGCATGCATGCTCTCTCTCTGTGTGTCAAATGAATAAATCCTTTTAAAAAGCCCACAGTGTAATAGAAAACATACTGTGACAACTCTAATGTAATAAGGTGAGGGTGTTTTAGTAAAGAGGTGGGTTGTTTCAGGTGACTTTTATAAAAGGGTGTAGGAGCTCCTTTGTTTTCTCCCTCAAAGCAATGGGGAAAGAATTAAATTATTATCTATGTAACAGACTGATGGGATTATTATATTGTTATTATTATTATTGTGAGATTAAAGTGCCTTGGGTGTCTTTGTTTTTATTTATTTACTTATTTTTATTTAGAGAGCAGGGTGGGGGTTGTAGAGGGAGGGAGAATATCAAACAGACTCCTCACTGAGCGTAGAGCCTGGCACTTGGCTCAGTTTCATGACCCCAAGATCATGACTTGAGCCAAAATCAAGAGTCACATGCTTAACCAACACAGCTATCCAGGCTCCCCCCCCTGTTTTTAAAGATTCTGTTTTTGGGGTACTTGGGTGACTCAGCCAGTTAAGCGTCTGCCTTTGACTCAGGTCATGATCCTGGGGGTTGGGGTCGGGGGGCTCAGGTTCCTTGTTCAGTAGAGAACCTCTTCTCCCTCTGCCTGTCAGTCCCCCTGCTTGTGCGCTCGCTCACTCTGTCAAATAAATCTTTAATAAATAAATCTTAAAAAAAAATAAAAACCTTAATGATACATGAATAAGTAGAAAAGTAGGGAACAAATTAAGATCATCTGAATCATCCTAATTTTAGCAAAGTGGGGAGGGAGCCTTGTCGATATCTGGAGGAACATGTTAAATATAGGGAACGGCAAATATAATGGCCTTACAGCACTAGAATACCTGAAATGTTGGAGAGAAAGGAGGCCTGAGAGGACAAAGGTAATAACCAAGGGCTGGATGTTGCTGGGGAAAGAGGAATAGGTTGGGAGGTGTGGCTTCAGCAGTCAAGAGGTAAATGCCTTTATAGAAAGGGGAGCTGCTATCAAAAGTCATTGTATATGTGTAATGTTATGTATTAGATACCAAGATAGATATTAGGCTTAAGAACTTTAAAGACTAGATGTGTTAAATTGTGTGAATGTCCACACTACGTGAGCCTATTAAAAAAAAAAAAAAGTCTTTCCTTTCAGTGTATGGGTTTTCTATTTCCCACACAAGTAATTCAAAATTAATTGGATTAAATGGTGAAAAACAGTGCATTTTTGTATTATGAAATACACATTGAAAGGTAAGATGAGAAATATGCCATAGATGGGAGTCATGAATACAGAAAATAAGGAAACTAACTTCCAAGAAAGCAAACATGGGCAAGTGGAGTAACAAGCTTTGCCAATTTAACCTCCAACCAACAGTATATGAGAGGGAGGTCTTTCCCTGAAACAAAAAGTGGTTGCGATCTTAGTAAAGGAAAATAAGATATACTCTTCATTATTTATAGCACAAAATTGTTTCAAGATGAAATTAAGGTAACACTTTACTAAAACTGTATGACAAGATAAAAAGAACTAATGGAGGAACTTCTGGCTGACTCAGAATATGTGTTTCTAGATCTCAGGGCTGTGAGTTCAACCCCTGCATTGGGTGTAGAGTTTACTTTAAAAAACCTAATGGAGGGGCGCCTGGGTGGCTCAGTGGTTTTAAAGCCTCTGCCTTTGGCTCGGGTCATGATCCCGGGGTCCTGGGATCGAGCCCCGCATCAGGCTCTCTGCTTAGCAGGGAGCCTGCTTCCTCCTCTCTCCCTCTTTGCCTGCCTCTCTGCCTACTTGTGATCTGTCAAATAAATAAATAAAATCTTAAAAAAAAAAAAAAACAACTAATGGAACTAAGGGGTAAAGTAAGACTATAAGATGTTAGTACAGAGATAGATACTGTGGAATCTTGTATACTTGAAATGATTCACTAATTCTTGTGTACACTTGTAATTGATCCCTAAAAACCTATCCACTTAAGAATTCCACGAATGGTCATAAAAAGCTGTTGCTCAACAGTCATGAGTCCCCATGGTATTCTGTGCTATGGAATCCAGCTTAATTCAGGGATAATTTTTCATGGCATAATTTTCAGACGTCTACAAATACCGTTTCTTTGTAAATTTGAGAGGATACTCCCTTAAGTGTACCTGGCATAATTTTAATGAGTTGGGAATAAAATTGACAGATATGGGGGAAATGAGACTATCCAAAAGAGGATCTAGGGGCACCTGATTTGCTCAGTTGGTGGCGCCTGTTGACTCTTAGGATTGTGAGTTCAAGCCTCATGTTTGGCATGGAGCCTACTTTTTAGATTTTATTTGAGAGGGTGCAGGTAGGTGGCAGGAGCAGGGGCAGAGAAATAGACTCTGTTGAGCCAGGAACCCACCACAGGGCTCCATCCCAGAACCTCGGAGATCGTGACTAGCCAAAGGCAGATGCTTAACTGATGGAGACACCCAGGTGCCCCTCTGACCACTCTCAATTTGAGAAAATTCGAAGTATGTATAGAGAGAATGGGGTGTTTGTTGGGAGGTGGATGGTAGTGAAGTTTGCACAGTGTGAATACTTAATGCCACAGATCCGTGCACTGTTACAAATGGTAAATATGTGTAATTTACCACACACAAAGACATAATAAAAAATCACACTCCCTAAAACAAAGATCCACACATCTAATTTGGTATTATTTCTCTCTGGTGTATCCTGTCATTTGATGGTTGCCAAATGATTAGGTAACCAGTGAGGTAACTTGCTTCATGACTTCTTGTACCGTTGGTGCCTAGAACAGTGCCTGACATGGAGTAAATGCCCAATAAATGTTTGTACAAATGAATGAATGGGGATAGTAACAGGAAAAAGATTGGTAGGGTCCATAACTAAATTCCCAATCAGAAAGTTACATCAAGTTAAACCAAAGAGCTAAAGTATAAAAGAAGTATACAAAAGGTAAGGTATAAGCTGAAGTATGTTCAATCATGATGATCCTATAAAAGGATTAATCACTTTTGTTGGGGCGCCTGGGTGACTCAGTGGGTTAAAGCCTCTGCCTTCAGCTCGGGTCATGATTCCAGGGTCCTGGGATTGAGCCCACATCGGGCTCTCTGCTCAGCGGGGAGACTGCTTCCCCCTCTCTCTGCCTGCCTCTCGCTACCTACTTGTGATCTCTGTCAAGTAATAAAATCTTAAAAAATATCACTTTTGTTACAAAACCCTCTAATAAAGGAAGAGAAGTGACAATATAACAATTATGAAAGGATTGGGTCTTAACTCACCTTGAAAGTTCATTTATATGGAACACTGAGATCCCTGATGTCCCTGATGTCAGATAAGTGAAGCATTCTGATATTTACAAAATCAAGTGCAGAGAAGTCACAGTGGAAAATGTTCTTTTT